CACAGCACAGCACAGCACAGCACAGCACAGCACAGCACAGCACAGCATAGCAGCATAGCATAGCAAAACAAAGCAAGGAAGGAAAGAAGAATAGTATAGAGAAACAAGCAAACTTTTTTACCTGAATTCGGTTGCCACGAGCAATATTGAACATTCCTCTCAGATATAGATAATTGCCCAGAAGAAGAGAAGAGGAGTTCTCCAGATTCTAAACGAAAAATGTACAGATCTCAGGTAAGTAGCTTGCACAGCAAACAAGCACAAGGGAGTAGAGGAAGGGCAGAGGTTCCCTCCCTGAAGAACCTGTTCAGACTCCCGGGGGGGGGGGAGCCTCTTGAAAAGTGGGTAGGGGGGCTCGACGGACCTTTTAGGGTCGAAAATGACACCTCGCGTACCTTTTAGGTTCTCCGGCTGACTCCCGTTTGACTCCGTACCTTTTAGGGTCAATCTCAGTTAATTTACCTTTACCTTGTAGGGTCATTTTCAAAACCGTCCCTCGAGCCCCCCTACCCACTGTTCAAGAGAGTACCCCCCGGGTTCAGACTACAGATCAACAGTAGTTGTGAAGAGAACAAACAAGCATTTAAAGCACGAGCTGGGGTTCTACCTTCATTTTTTCTGTGAGGTCGTTCAAGCAGTCGTCATAAAAACTTCCTGGTGATAAAAAAGAAAAACGATAATTAAAAAAAAATCAATATTCGAGACAAAAAACAAGATTCAATTGTTAGACAGTGAGACAGAAGACAGATAGACCGATAAGTGAAGCTACGGTAGGCATTCAGACAATATTAGGGAATTATCAATAAGCCTGAAGCGAGATGACGTTTTACCCCCGTCTCTAGACCATAATCCTTTTCACATTGCTTTTGTTCTTTAACTATGACTATTGYTCCTGTATTCTCTAAGGAATCAAAAATTTTAATATGAAAGAATTTTATAAACTATTATGGTATAAAGTCGGGGGTAAAACGTCATCTCGCTTCAGGCTTATTAAGGCTGGTTTAGACGGTACAATTTTCGCCTACAACTATCGTATACAACACGCTCGCGCCATCCTACAACTCGAGTCGTAGCGTGTAAATCAAGCCTACAACTCGCCTACGACAGACGCGTGCAACACGAAAAAAGCTGTAGGATTTTAAAACGTTTTAAAAAGCTACGACAATCGTTGGTGTCATGACGCGAGCGTGTTGTATACGATAGTTGTAGACGAAAATCGTACCGTCTAAATCGGCCTTTACACTAACTTACCAGTAAAGAGACCCTCAAGAGTAAATGGTGGTAAAGACAAAACAGACATTGATTGAGAATCAACACATTGATCGTTAGGCGTGGATGGGGTCTGCTGTGTTGTTGATGAGGCCATGAGCGATGAACTACGTTTCCTCAAGTCTTGTCTGGAACAAAAACAACACACACTGACTTAAAAAAAGACATAAATCGTTTTATTTAAGAGTTTCACACTAATTAGGGACGCTTTTCACTCACACACTACCACTACATTCAATGTTCTAAGCAGACGACACTCCATTTTTACGGATGGAGAAAAACCTGTTGATAACCAGGAAAAAAAGCTCTTGTAACATAGGAGAGAACAACACATTAAACAACTAGATTCACATACTAGCTTGGGATGGATGATACATGTAGGAAGACAAAGAACCATGGTCAAGACAGTGACTCTCTAACCCCCACCCTCCACCCAGGGGTGGTAAAATAGGTGACTAGTTACCCCCTTTTTGTTGAATTTTCTCAGTATATCGTTCGTAACAGTCACCCCCCCTTTCCTTCAATTCCTTGTAAAAGCTTTGTAAGAGCCTTTCCCCCCCCCCCGCTAAAATCCCTGGATCTGCCCCTGACACCCAACACACACTTCACTTTTAAAGTCTTACACATGCGTGTCTACTAACCCTGCCCCATTTTAAAACTGAATCAATGATGAAAATGATATTACTCTACCTGTTGGTTTGAGGTTGGACGCGTTCAATCATAGCAGAGAAATAGTCTCTCCTATCAGGATGACGTAATCGATCTTCCAGAAAACTCCCAAAGGCATGGCTATCGCACACCTAGAGGATTTACACACACAATCTTTTTATTCATAAGTAAGATTTGGGGACGCAAAATGGAGGATATCTTTTGACCCACAATCCCTTGCACCACAAAGTTGTTACCAGTCTTACTTGGAACTTCGCAATGGCAAGTTATCTTCAATTGACAAAGATTTTATCGGGCCCTTTTGGTATTGTAAACCCAATCACGTGTCATTCCCTTGAATGCTATTCGTTTGTTTACATCAATAGAACCCTTGCATGTGACGTCAAAGCAGCTCAATTTGGAGGAAAAAACAAAAGAACTTCAATTTCCTGAGAATTGGAAACCCATTGTTATGTCCTACATATTGAGCTGCATTCCGACGTGCTGCAAGGGGTCAATAGTATGGTTGTGAAACCTTTAAATTTGCTCTTAAGACATTTTAATGGGAAAACAATTGATTCCACTGTCGTTATAGGTCTAGGAGGGGAGGGGTGGTAAAACTTCAGTTTTCTACCTATGGAAGGGGAGGGTTGGAAACTAAACTATTGTAAAGGTTATCTAGTTTGTTACTTGTGTACCTCTTCATAAAATGGCCGATCTTCGTCGAGTTTAGATGCAATGAAACCATCTAAATCAAAGTAAAGCTACGAGAGAAACACCAGAGTTAATCTAATGATCATACATGCATCAAAAAGCCAGTAGCCAGTCATTGGTGTTAGTCACGTGATTACTTACCTTCCCTTGATGTGTCGTCATATCACTAGAAGTAAGAAGAAAAATGTCACTTACACTGCGTTCATGATGTATGGCAGAGGGGGGCAAGTGAAATTTAGGGGGGATCGGGAAAATTTTGGTAGGAAAAAGGGGGGATGGGCAAATTTTTATTATAAAAATGGGGGGATGCACAATTTTTGGAAGAAGCTACAAGCCTTGCTTAGGGGGGATCGTATTTTTATTGCATGACTTTAAGGGGGGGTGTGTTAAGAATGATTCTGGACATTTCAAATTTTCACCTGCACCCCCCCACCCCCC